AATGTAGGTATTTAAGAAAAGCATAGAGAAAAATCCCGGTCATAGTGATTAATTACCTAACCATTCCAACAGCATTGCTGGGAAGAGACTTAATTCTAGAGAGTTAACCTCAAATTTTAAAACATGCAACCACACCCATTCATGTGATTCGTTCATCCCCAAAGATATAAAAAGTCCAAAATATATACGAAATAAGAGAAAAAGTAATGTAATAAACAATCATATAAATGTCTGCAGAAACTTTCTTTACAATACAAATATAATCCAACACATAAAATATATGATGTAAGGATAATAATATTTATCTATTAAACCATTTTGACAAACAATTTCAATGATTTTGAATGATTTTCTCTCTATACATTACCCGGATTCAATGTAACCATGACCTTTTGATCCATGGTTAGTGTCGACAGACATAAAGAAATCCCTGTTATAGTAATTAAACCAAGACGGGTTCATTCAATGTAACCATGACCATTTAATCCATGAATGAGTGTCGACAGAAATAAACACATGACAAAGAAATCCCTGTTATAGTAATTGAACCAGAACGGATTCAAACAGAAAGTTTTTGAAAGCAGAGAAGACTGTGCACTTTATAAATAGCATGACTTTATCAGATAACAATACAAATACTAAAAATCGGGCTAAAAATAAGGCGTAGGTACTTTAACTCAGTCGTGGACCTGCAAGTGTCCTTTGTTTAATACCTGTTTTAATTTGTATTTAGTCCTATTATCGTTCCATGTGAACTTTAGTTTATTTTTTTTAATTTTTGATTCAGTTAATGTCATTCTACACATTTTTTTTCTGTATTTAGTATACTTTTACCCAATTCTTTAATGATTTTGAATGATAATAGCTTTTATTTTAGAATTTAAAGGAGAAATGATAGCAGTATTGCTTGAAGTTATGTGGCATCAGTTTTTTTCTCATGCAGACATAAGGGGTAAATGTCCGGCGGCTGTGTTAGCTATTGATATAAAGCTTTAGATTTCAGAAGGTAAAAACATATACTCAAACATGTGAAAATAAAAATAAAAAAGACCTGGATGCTTTATACTTTGTGTGCAGATAATGTCAACCATACAGAGTTCGTCTGACCTCGACTTTCATTTCATTGGTTAAGTAACATGGCAAGGTCTGTTTCCCGGATACTATAAGCAGTAAGTCATCTGAATATAGTGAACATAATAATTTGAAGGAATACATGCCAGGCCGGCAAATTTCATATGAACCTACCATTATATTCATGGTTCATTGGTCAATGTAATGTTTTTGTGTTTTTGGTCTGTAATTCATGTACAGTACTATAAGCAATATATCAATTATCTTTGGTGTATAGACAATGATACAAAGATTGCATTGTGTACATGTCTGTCTGTTAGGTATCCTAATACCTTGACCTCAACTTCATGGTTCTTTGGTCAATGTAATGTTTTAGTATTTTGGTGTGTTCTTTTTTCAAATAACATAAGGAATGTCAGTTGTTTGGAGTAATTGTAATTGTCTATAACTATCTGTCCTGATTTATAGGACCTTGACCTCATTGTCAGGGGTCTTTGAAATATTAAGTTATGTGAAACTTGTAGTAAAATATCTATCTTTAAAACTGAAATGTAATGGTCAGTATAGCATGATATTTCAGTTAGTGCACTCTTATTTTGGCGTCTTTAGAATAACATTTAAAGGTATGCATTGATAAATTTAGAAATTGATAAGAAACAAAAATGTCTACCCCCCCTCGATGCATCATTGACTTTCAATTAAGTACGGCTATTCTTTCTAGTGGTCCTGTTGTCGTGCACATAACTCAAGTTTTCTACTATTGTTAAATCCTTTACATTGACATAGTTTGGTTCTAATGGTGGTAAATACTGAAGGGGATTCCAATTTACACCCAAAACAAGGATCAAGTAAAACAATAAATGGATTCTTAGAGAAATGAAAAGGCCAAAATCATTCTTGAATTTAGAAACAACCTATCCAAATTCGGAAAGATGTCGAAAAGTATAATTAAGTTATCGCAAGGAGACTGTTTTGTTACCCGACCACCCACCTGTCCACCATAAAACTCCAGAAACTTTTCATCGGAAATCCGGTTAAAAATCAAAATCTTTTATCACAAGAAAAATGAACAAACGTATATTCTCATAATAAAATACCTGCACACCTTAATAGGGAAGATGTGATGATCTTGATATCCGAAATACTTTTATTAAAATATGAAATCAAATTTTAAATCTTATAAACAAAAACAGTTTCATAGTCTGTATTTCTATCTTCACTTATTTTACTAGACACTATCATCATTCCTGTTTCTTTGTTTATGTCTATTTCATAAGGACTTTTGATTCCATCAGCCTCTGATAGTATGGTCTTACAGGTTTTCCCATCTGGAGATACCACCACGAAACTGCTGTTTTCACAAGAAGCTATATAGATAAAGCCTTTCATGTCCAATGTAATTCCTACTGGTTGGTCAATGTCCTGGTGCGTAAACGTCCACATAGTTTTACCCGTACTTTTAAAGCAGCAGACGTTGTTTTCTAAAGGAATGGTACTATAGATATTTCCATGGAATAATGCAATGCAACCCACTCCTTCCATGCCTTCTAAGATTGTATGAGACATGTCATTCAAAATCACACTAGTACTCTGTGTGCCACCACTACTGATGACCAAAGTTTCACTATCACTTGCTACTCCATAACAATCATGAGAAAGTTCGATCGTTTGAATAATTTTATTGTTTTCTGTATCCACCAGTGTTCTCTCTTTGTGTACTCCTAATGCAACAGCTACTGTATAATTTCTTACAAAGCAGGCATCATATGAACCTTGTTTAAATGTAACTTCTATTCTGATAAAGATGCCATCATTACCGAACAACAGTAGTTGATTTTTGTAATAATCAAGTATAATGAATTTACCATCAGGCAATATACGACAGGCAACGATATTCGAAGTCTTCATATCTTCTGGAATTGTCAGTAATGTCAACAGGGATGGCCTTATTTGTTCAATATCAGGAAATTTTGAAATTAAATTCTGAGCTTGATCTTTTCTTCCAGCCTTTATTTGCAGGTAAGAGGTGGTGTTGATATCGATATCTCTATAGGTTGCATTTCTGTAAATATAGACAATGCAATTTCCCATAGGAACTCCCTTTGCGGCTAAAACTGTGACACTTTTACTATGAAGTTTCGTGAAAAATAATATCCCAAAACGGAAAGTTAATATGCACTACTATTTTATTCAAAGGTCAAAATATAGTGCTGTGCGGCATATTTTCAACATTTATATGCCCTGAACTTCTAAGAGTTTAAACTTATACTAAAATTCTATACTACCCTTACCTTCTTTTTTGGACCTTCTAAGAATTAAAATTTAGGCGCTACCATGTTTTTCTATACTGGTTACATTCCCAAGTGATGTCTCTATGAGATGAAACACAGAGATCATAAATGGGAACCAGTATGTTAACAAATTAACATATCTATGAATATTATATATCTCCCCAAAAGAGGCGTGGTTTAAGAAACAGCTGTATTTACAAAGTGCAACCTATACAAACATTTATTCAAATAGAAAACTCTCTAAAAACACTTTTTCTCACAACAATACTTATTTATCAGAATTATAGCCTTAAAGAAATCACTGCATATAATCTAAGTTTCCTTTTACAGTACATTTTATACCCCTACCCCTGTTTCAATTTTTTAAAGAATTTGAAAACAGAACTTTAATTATTGCCAGCTTACCCTATGTACATGTTTTCTGACATGAACTGTCTAAAACCTGTTTGAAACTGTTCTGATAACAAATTGAAAGCATTTTAGAATACTATAAATGTAATGTTTAGTAGTTAATCATTCCAAAATTCAAGATTATACAAAGTATCCAATCCTGCCTTTGTCTCCAGTCCACATCTTACTGTATGCCTATTAGTCAATGAAAGTTCACAATTTCTGCCTCTAATGGTCAGTTTAGAATTCTTGTCACAAAAATATCATCCCTTACCATATATCTAACATAAGTTAGTTAATACATGAACTAGAAGTGTTTAAACAAAGCCGTATTTGCAAAAGTTGTATTTATGAAGATATCAGTCTGGTGCATAAATTCACTAAAAAAATGATAGAAATGACTGCTTACATCTGATTTTTGCATAACTTCCTAGCACAGTTATTGTTTTCTTTACAAAAGACCTTTAAAATAATAAAATCATAGCATTTACAAGTTAAATTATCTGTTTTATGACCCAGGGGTAGGCATTTTTCTCTGTTTTTTGCCCCTGGGGCCTCACATTTCCCATATGTTTTCCCTGTTTCTAGCAATATGGAATATTAAGAGCCAATCTGCCAGAAAACCATGCAAAACCGTCCGAATGTCACTTTTTCCAAATGAGTTCATATTTGGCATATTGGTGCACCTTAGTAATGTAAATAACCACACAAATTTTTTTTGGGAAAATATTGAACCGATCTGGATATTTTTTGAGAGCCATGTTTAAACAGATGAAATTGCTCGAAAACAGCAAAAATAAGCTTTTTTTGGCATATTTCGCTGGTTTAAATAAAAAAATATGGTAACATTTATAATTTTTTGATAGTTGTTCCTAGTAATACATCACTTTAAGTGTAAGAATGCATAGAATTAACAATGCTGTCTATTAAGTGTATGTATAATCTAACTGTTTCAATATGTCTTATTTAGCTACATGTCCAAAATGGCTGATTTTGGTCATCTTTCAGAGCCAAAATACTCCAAGACCCGTTTATTATTGTAAAACAACATATCTACTTGCAAAGTATAACTATATATACCCAATCAAAAAAAATATCAAGCTCGGCAAATAATGTTGGTGTCTGGTATATGCCACAACAAAATGGGGTAACCTGCATATTCAAATTTTCTCAATTTTGCCGTCTAATTTGTAACTACTGACATATGATAGGATCTGGACTTATAAATAAGTATAACAACAAATGGAAAAGAATAATTAATGTTTCATTTAATACATTAAGAAAATAATCATACATAAATACAAATTATTCATTATAAATCTAGAGGCTCCCAGGAGCCGAAATAGATCGTATTGACAAATTGTGCACCTAAAACAATAAAACACACATATTTCAAACGCAATCAATTTAAATTAGAAGTTAAACAATTCAGAATAAGTTCAGACTGTAAAAAAAAAGTTTCTTCTGACCACTTTTGCAATTTATTCTTATAATATATTGATATAGTTGTCGGATAGTAGCAGAAAACTGTGAAAATTTGTAAATTTACACATTTCAGGGACAATAGCTCATAGATGTTATGTCCAATTTTTCAGAAAAATTTTGGGTATTTAGATCTTGTCATGTTGATAGCTTTTATCAATATATATATATATATATTGAAAAGTTTTTAAATTTTGTATACATATATATATGTATGACACTTCTTCTAAAGTTATTAAGATGATGGTTTAAAAGTGAAAACTGTAAACAGATGATTTTAACAGACACTTGATGGAAATTTTTTTATGACCCTTTGAGCCTACTATGCTAACAAGGCAAGATTTGCCAGGTACCTATATCTATGTTGCTGCAATGTGGTCAATACAAACATGAAAATCATAAATGCTTCTAAAAAAAAATCCCATAACTAGACGAAAAACAAATTACTTAGTCTATATATACCAGTGCAAAATTTATAAAGAATTTTGAATGAAATTGGATAGCTGTTAAGATTACTGTACCTATAATGCTCTACATCACATCCTCGGAGATAACAGAATTAAAATAAGTCATATGAATCTTCAAATTTCAATAAAGTTGAATGTGTTTTTTTATACTTGAACGGCTATAGGTTTTACTATAAAACAAGTGTACATTAACTTTCTTGTAAAAGAAAAACCATAACATTAAAATCTCCATAAATGATGAACTGTTATTTTTTGAGACATCATCCCATGGAAGATTTAACTGATGTTTTAAAGTTGGAAAGTTTCTGTTGCTTGTTTGGTTGGTTGAAATTGTTTCTGTTACAAGCATTATCAGTCTCCCAATCTGATGTTGACTGCTGTGAAAGTTCAGTTGTTGTTGACACTGACAGAAAGATTAGCTGCGAGTCTAGATCTAAAAACCACAAAACATACATACATGTACATAAATCAGGCTGTTAGTTTTCATATTTTTTCATTTTCTTATTTTGGGGCCTTTTATGGCTGAATATATATGCAGTATAGGTCTTGCTCATTGTTGAAGGCCATATGGCGTATGAAGACCTATAGCTTTACTTCTATGTCATTTGTTCTCATTGGCAATCATACCATATTTTTTTTTAATTTCATATATACCACTGACAGGAAATAAAATTGACAACTTTTACTGTAAGTGGATGCAGTTACAAAATTCTCCCAACTAAAGCCAAATCATTTTTGCAGAATAGTTATTATCCACTCCTTTTAAGCATGTCCAAATAGCCCTTAACATCTTTACAACAATAAAAATTGCCTCAATTTGGTTTGGCATGTCAAATTACCTCTCAATATAATTTTACATTGAAAACAGACAATGGCGATAATTTGACCGCTTTTAGTGACAATCTTTGAAATGGTGGCCATCTTTATATCTGTTCTCTGTGTCAAAGTACAGCTAAATATCAATATTCTTTAAAATCAAACTCAACAAAATTGAAAATTTTACCCTTTATTTGCTGTGTCCATCTTTAAAAAAAAAAATTCATTGTTTTGTTGGCATGTCAAAAGTGCTATAATTCCTTAATGTCAATTTTCATATAAGGCCATCTTGAAAATGTTTGCCATTTTGGAAGAAAAAACAACATTACTTTGTTTAGCAAGTCAAACTACCACGACTATCCCTAATTAACAATTTTCATTAAATTAACCAGTGTTGAAATTTGTGCCATCCTTGATGGCCATCTTGAAAATGTTTGACATCAGATAATCATCCACATATTGTGCTTTTCTTTTCACTAAAGTTTCATTTAAAAAGATAAAACCAGTTATCTCAGAAAAGGACAAATTTTGTGGAAGATGAAGAAATAATGCAAGTTTGGACAGAACATTCAAGCTATAACAGCTCTAAATTTGTAATGGGATTAAATATTTCACAAAGAATAGGTTTCTAACACAGAATAAATATGGTATAAAGATAAAGTTTAATAGATTCAGCATATCAGAGAACCCAAGATCAAATTAAGATTTAAAATTTAGTTTAATTTTGGACCCTTTGGACCTCAATGTAAACCAATTTCTTAATAGGGCCCAAAAACTAAATACAGGTTAGGATCATGCTGAATCAGCATCTTTAAAATTATTGTTGAAATCAAACACAGTTAAATTATGGACCCCATTTGAACCAACTTGAAAACTGGGACCAAAATCTTAAATCTAAGTACATATTTATATTCAGGATATTTGATTATTTCTATTTATCATTCAAAGAACCCTAATTCATTGTAATTAGAGTTCAAATTTTGTTAAAATTAAACTCAGTTAAAATTTGGACCCTTTGGACTTTAAAATGTGGACAAATTTGAAAACCGGACCAAAATTAAAAATCTAAATATAAAACATTTGCATTTTGTATATCAAAAGAACCTCAAGAATTCAAGTTGTGTAGAAATAAGAAAAAAAATTTTGGACCATTTTGAAATCAATGTGAACCAATTTAAAATGGGGCCCAATTGCACCATCTTAAATTATTTAAATACATTGTTAGATTTAGCATATTAAGAACCCAAATAATGTATTTATTTTAATTTGTTCTTGTCCTAAACATGCATGAACTATTTGCCATTGGACATTAGCATTACCAACAACCAATCAATTAATCGAACAGGTGAAATATCTTCAAAAGTACCAATAAAAATCTCCCCCTTTTATATTTGAAAAAGTAAAATCACAAAAATACTGAACTCTGTGGAAAATTCAAAAAGGAAAGTCCCCAATCAAATGGCAAAATCAAATGTTCAAACACATCAAACGAATGGATAACAACTGTCATATTCCTGACTTGGTACAGGCATTTTCTTATGTAGAAAATGGTGGATTGAACCTGGTTTTATAGCTAGATAATAAACCTCTCACTTGTATTACAGTCGCATCAAATTCCATTATATTGACAACGATGCGTGAACAAAACAAACAGACACAATAGGTAAAATTGTCAAAAATAGGGGTACAGCAGTCAACATTGTGTTATCATCTTAATCACTATAAAAACAAACAAATGTAACGAAGAAGCACAAAAAGGCATACATCAAATTTAACATCCTCATTTTGCTTATATTATACGATTTTATATATCTATGTAAAATCCACCCATAAAGGATGGAAGGTTAGTACTGGCGTAAAATCGCGCGTTTGAAATTCGCACAGGTAGACATAAAATAATTTTGTCGTTTAAAGTATGACGGGATACATAAATACAGAGTCACGTAAAATGGATATCACAAAAAACAGACTTAACAGTAAAAGTAATACGTATTAATAAATAAAATAATTGAAATGGAATGTATGAACAGTTCATTAGTCATTGTAAGTTATTGAATGGAAACTATAGGAGCCGCCCAATATAGTACTACAAATTAAAATTAGCAAAGTGATTTTTCAATGGGAAAACCAAGTTTACAAAGACCTGTTTAATACAACTGATGTACAAATGTATAACATGTAATTGTATAATTATGTTATTATATAAGTGATTACATATACTTTGTATGATTACCATGTTATACAAACAGTTAAATTAATATATAAGTTAACCCCAAGGGTGACTGGGGTATAGAAGTATGGTCACCATTGGTCTTCCTCCGACCGGCAGTAAAACCCGTGCTAAAGTGGGGCGTCCGTTTGGCTGTGCGGGATGTACAATTTGCAGCCACGTCCGGTCAGAATGGGGACGTTAAATCCGATGCCTCGTGTAAATAGAGTGCCACGCTCTTTGCACGTTAAGAACCCTTGCAACAACTCTTTGAGGGGTCCGTAGGTGACCTGTTGCAAGGCTAAATTTCTGTTCCTATCCAATATACCCTCATTTCCCGTGGCAGTCTAAATTTCTCCGACCTTAATCCCTTAATCTATTACAGATCCTACCTATTGTATTTATTGTGAACTTGTTCTCGTCCTGAATATGCATGAAATATTTGCCACTGGACGTTAAGCAACCAACAATCAATCAATTAATATATAAGTTAATAATAACTTACCAATATCTTCTTCTATACATGTATTTAGTTTGACCTGGCTATAGTCACTTTTACAAAAATTCATCTTAATTGAGCATTGCTTGCATATATATAGCCCTACAAATAAAAAGTGTTAAACTATAAAATAATTCTTCAATTTTGTTTTACATAAAATAAAATATATCAGACAGGAAATGTAGGGTAGTGTAGCATCACTGTGCATGTAGTTTAAATGTATGTTTTTTCTTTTAAAAAGGGCTCTATAAGTAATCTACATACCTGTACATGTAGGGTCCTAAAATGGAACTTTACAAAAGTTTGCAATGCTTTTGATTTTTTTAGTCTCCATGGCCTATTAGTTCATTAAAAAAATATTATTCTCTGGATAAAGTTGTCTAGTGTTACATGTACAGTTTGTTGTAAAACATGTATTTGTAGCAGGCTTTTCCACGAGATAAAAGTTTTTTTAGTAGACAAAGAGCTGAACAACTTCCAGTAAGAACTGAAAATATAACTTAGGGGAAGAGAATAAAAACCTGACCTGCTAAACGTTGAATATGTTGAAATAGATTTTGATTATTATCATGATTCTGGTCTATAAATTGATTTTTTAAAGCAGAAAATAAATATATATTGTACCCTGGTTAATAGCTTGAAAATTAAAATTCTGTCCTAAGCTGACAAGGACATAAATATTTTGACCATTCTAACCCTCCCCCTTGCTTTTTTAATCAAAGGTCCCAAAACAGAACAATGTATATATACGGATATATATTATTTGCTTGCACTTTGCCATAGGAAATAAATAAGATGTCTTAGAAACAGGTCAAGTGTAAAAGAATATTCACATGCCCCTTCAACACCCATCCCCCCTTTTTTTAATCTAGCTAATGTATCAATTGTTGGTCCCCTAATTTCAGATTGACTATATAGAACAAATAAAAATTGATTGTAAGATTTGTACCTTTTCCTTCTGGAATAACTCGTCCTATATACAGCCTGTTTTGAAAGGGTGAAGATACTTGGTCAGCTTTGGCTTTGCTGGAAGAGGGTTGGATAAGATGTTGACATCTTGCTTGACTATCATGTCAATGAATTCCATAAAAGTCCCTGTACTTCGAGCATATTCAAAGACAAGATGATGTAACAACCATGGGAAAATAAACCACTCCTTGTCTTATATAAAATAAGGAGTCCTGTTGGAAATTCTACACCATAGTTTTCAGTATTATTCAGACTTCCTAAATGTAGATGAATGGTAGTCTGTATCTGTATGAATATGTTTGGTTACCAATGCTGGTTTCAATACCACGTAGAGAGAGTGTCGTTGATTAATTGATGGTGCGTCTAAGCAGTTTTGACTCTCTCAATCTCAATTTTGGTGCGAGCAAGGTGGTTCCACTCCCTCACTTTTTTTTTATGAAGAATGATTTAGAATACTTTTGTTTTGCTCGTTGAAATCTAAACACACTTTTTGCTGTTCATAGACTTCTTTTTCCAATCAATATTTATCATGTTTATTCACTAAATTATTGTCATGATTGTCAAATTTCTTGGCAGTAATTATTTTTTTTGGAAATGCTATTTTGGTCTTTAGTGCATTTAGATATCTTAAATAGTTTGTAATATGTAGATGTATAAGGCTGGGATAGCCCACATGCTCATCCTAGATTATTAAAGTCACAAACTTCACTGCAAACATTTGTCTGCAAAACCATCATTGGGAGCTGACATGTTTGAGATCTTACACAAGGGAGATAAGTCAATGGAAGAGCATAAAAGATGGACTCCCTGGTTTCAGACAATTTATTGATTTTTGGACTTGCAGTACAAATACGTCTAATTTCATTTTTCAGACAAATTGATTTTACTTGTTCGAATGATTTTATTAGCCATTTTAGTACCAATTGTGTTCAGAATTTAATAAAAATCAAAATCAAAATGTGTCAATTTTGGACAAAAATCACCATTCTTCCAAGGCATAAGTTAACATATAATAGTCATTTGCCAAGCTTAATATTTTGTTTTGATATAAAACATACCCCATAGTTAAAACCGATATAAGTTGCAAACAAATCCGGAATGGGTCTTGCAAGATAGAAGCGAATGAAAACCACGTAAATTCATGTACGAAAAACCCCGCCTGTGTGTCCATGCTCCTGGCAATGTGCCAAATCGTTTAAATTTTCATTTGTATTGATCATAACATAGAAAAATGGATGAGTTTCAGCTGACATTAATCTAAAAACTCAACTACCCCATTTAATATGCTTCTGGGTTATTCTTAAAAGGCATAACAAAGTTGGATTTTTCCTTGGTTTCATTATGAATTTACAGAATTATGCAAATGAGGCTGTTACTAAAAATAGATACGATTCTGGGAAAAATTAAGTGGTCAAATTCTTTTATTTTATGTCAAGGATTAAGATGATGTATAAAAATTTGTCAAGTTGTGATTGTCGATTTGGACGATTTTCTGAATATTGCATGGTTTTCTGGCGGATTGGCTCTTAAGTACATATTTAGGATAAGTCACACTATTGTAAGTTTTATTGAGGTCTTTTTGTAATTCTAGCTTGTACTTTTTTATGCCGCGGTCACAAAAATGCACTTTTAGGTGTTACGGCTTACTTTTAGGTTATCGACAGGACAAAAACACCCCACCAAAAATAATTAGGAAGGATCAATGAGTTGCAATGACTGCGAAGAGTAAATATAAGCACTTCTAAACAATTTAAATTACAAATAGGCATATATTATGAATTTATTTTGAATTCAGGGCTTTAATTAAACCATGCACACTGTAAACTGTGAATTTATGCTGAGTCATCATAGTTAAGGCCCATGAAATCCTCAATCTTCATGAAATATTTATAAAACTTCATATTTAAGTTAAATTCTTAAAAATCTCTGAGATAAACCAGATTTTATGGAATTCTGTACGTTCTAATTTTTAACCCTATATAGGTTCCAATTCTGTAAATATAGACAATGCAATTTCCCATAGGAACTCCCTTTGCGGCTAAAACTGTGACACTTTCACTATGAAGTTTCGTGAAAAATAATATCCCAAAACGGAAAGTTTATATGCACTACTATTTTATTCAAAGGTCAAAATATAGGGCTGTGCGGCATATTTTCAACATTTATATGCCCTGAACTTCTAAGAGTTTAAACTTATACTAAAATTCTATACTACCCTTACCTTCATTTTTGGACCTCCTAAGAATTAAAATTTAGGCGCTACCATGTTTTTCTATACTGGTTACATTCCCAAGTGATGTCTCTATGAGATGAAACACAGAGATCATAAATGGGAACCAGTATGTTAACAAATTAACATATCTATGAATATTATATATCTCCCCAAAATAGGCGTGGTTTAAGAAACAGCTGTATTTACAAAGTGCAACCTAAAGGATTTGACATCGAGTAAAATAGATTGAAGAGCAGATGAAATGTTAACCTCCAGATTCTTTTTAATGAAGTTGTCATCACGTTCTAAATCATCCATATAGCTTGCGGTTTGTGATGTAGTTTTCTCAATTTCTCTAAGGCCAATAAACATCTGTAGCTCAGTTGCATATTGCATCATTTTGGTAAACTGGCTCTGCAGTAGGTTTACCCGACTGGTTCGCTGTTCCAATTGTTGCATAAGAGTGGCCATGTTTGAAAATTATCTTGGAATGTTTAGAATCTAAGTCATTAAGGATGTCTTGCTCTAATTTGTTTAAGTAATCATTGATAGACTTCCTCATATACCGGATTTTATCAACGGCTTTCGTTTTCTGAATATTGTTGGTACTGATTCTGGTTTTCAGGAATTTTATGGCTGTATCTAAGTTTTCCATCACATTCTTCAAATCTTTTTCCAAAAGTAGAACTGAGGCAGATGATTTTACTTTCTTAAGGATGTCCGACAAAGGTTTGAGGTCCTGACATTTCTGGTGTTCATCGGAGATGCACTGGACACAGCATGGACAGGCATGGAAAGAACAATGAAGTTCAAACTTCTTGTGGTCTCTGCACTGACTGCTAATTTCTGGCATGAATTTAGGTAACTTGTCGTAATCTTCAGATGACATGGTTCTATGGTTCTTATACAGTCTTGACTTGCTGTGAGGTTTTTCGCAGTCTTCACTAAACAACACCTTGCATTCCGTGCACCATGTGACTGCTCTGTTTGAGATTCCTTCGTCATGGCAAATTAAACAAAAAAATGATTGACTGATGAGGCCATTAAATTATCTTATTATATCTGAAATGTATGAAAAAACTTTACAGCTATACATAACATAGTTTGCCTAAACATATTACTGTAAGATATGTAAAAACAGGCAATACCATGCATTTTGTCCAGATACGTAGTGAAAAATGTACATTTTATATATTCATTTATATATTCACAATTACACAGAATTATTTTCTGGAAATCTATAAACACTGTTCTACGCCTATAATCTTTGACATTGTTATACTCTCTCTCTCTCTCTCTCTCTCTCTCTCTCTCTCTCTCTCATCTTAATCGAGAGAGAACATGCTTAAAGATGGCAATACAAATATTAAAATCAAGGTAAGCAGACAATGGCTGAATGAAAAAAAAAAAGAAAATCTTATGGCTTTTGTGTCATTTTAAATGCTGTTTCACTGACATACTTTTATATATTTTGTACTGTTACACCACTGTCCCTAGTTAAATATAGGTTCGTCACCTGATAACATGTTTATTCCAATTACATTCTGTCTTAAGTCATGCAGGAGCCTGTAATTCAGCGGTTGTCGTTTGTTTGCTATATATCACCTTTTTTTCCGTTAATTGTATTATTTTACATACAACCGCCTGTTTGCTTTTCTCGTTTGCTTTTTTTGATTCTTATCATTTCTTACAGCTGACTATGTGGTATCGGTTTTGCTAATTGTTGAACGCAGTACGGTGACCTAAAGTTGATAATGCCTACAGTTGGGTGCAGACCAAGCATTACATGTAGACGGGCGGAAAAAGTTAACGCGGCGTTTACTCGCGTGCACTTCATGTAAACGCCGCGTTAACTGTGCGTTAACTCCGAAATTTGAGTAGACATAAAATGTAAACGGGCGTTTACTTTCGCGTTTACCTCCGCGTTAACGCAAAAACGGCGCGTCTTCTAATTTTGTAAAGAGTA